ATTCAAGGTAGCTTTTCTGTGGTAGGAAGGTGAGCAATTAATTATGCTTCAATTCGGAATATGAAAAGGTAAGGCGCTCTACGGCTGTTTTGCGGAGTGCGCCAGGCTCTCGGCTTTATCAGGAATCTTGCGATGTTCAAATGCATATTGGGCATGTACAATAACATAGAAGGGCTAGCAATCGTACAAGTCAGTCAGCTTTTTTCTCGAAATTGACGCCAATATGCTGATGTAGTAAAAAAGAAAGGTATGGTTGGCTAGGGCAACTACATATGGATCACCAGCACCTCTTGCTACTGACCAAGCACTAAATATAAATAGTATTGAGGCGTGTGTTCCTATGTCATATAGAATTCCATCCATTTGGAGTATCTGGGATACCACTTATATGTTGACTGCCACTTGAAAAACCTATTCTCAGAACAATTCTCTCCAAAACTGAATCCAAAGTCAGCCTCCACATCCTTCTGAATTCGAGCTACACAAGTTTTTTTTTCCACAGCTACAGTCTTCGCAGTTGGAGGACGGCTTCTCGTGTTCCAATAGTGCCTGGTGAACTGTCCCGGGCCAGCAGGTGAGCGGTCACTTTATGGCTCTCTCGAAATGGCAAGCAAACAGCTGGCGGTTGCGGATCCTATCGTCGCCGCTCTTCTTCTGGACAGTAGGGCTGTCACTCAAGCACAAACTTTCCTGCAGGCACTTTCCCCTTCAACTTTCACCAGCAGACACTTTTGCCGTCAAATTGGGCCAAATTTGTGAGGGGAAGAGAGAGCGCTTACAACTCTCGCTAGTGACCCGTTCAAACAACTCAGTAATCTAGAGAGCACAGGTGACAGGTGGCTCAAGGTCGGTAAGCAAACAGAACGTGGGTTTTATTTATTCACTAAGTGCTTAAGGGTTAGATTTCACATATTATTGGTAACAAACAGTGAGGTGACGTTTTTTCAGTCGTGGGTAGAAACTATTGCTGTGACCACTTTGTTACCTGTTCCTGCTTCTTTACCCATAGCATAGGCGTGAAAGCGTTAGTACTTCCTCAATAAGAGTTACCCACCTCTCGGTGGTCAGAACTTCTGGTGAATCTGGGCGGAATCGATCTCTTAACCGTGCAAGGAGTGTAAACGGGCAATCCCAATCATATATCCGTCTCTACCTAACTCTGTGGGAAGCCAACAGACTGTCAGATGTC